ATGTCTACATTCAATGTATTGTGTATTTCTTCTCCCTTCCCCCTGCCTATATAATCAGGCCCTATTGCCATTGTAAACACAACTTTGAATATTAAAACTCCCTTTTACTCTTTGAGTATTTATAAAATAGTGTGATGCTATTTTAGCCAAATTCCTAATTCTATATCTTAAGAGTGGTTATCTTAAGTGTGAGTTTTAGGTTCTAGATATTTGATTAAGTGTGTCATATCTTAATTAAATACTAGAATTCAACCCCAAGTTAATCTAGAGGTGAGCTTATCCTTTAGTATTAATTTGGCTTCAAATTAAGATAAGAGTGTGTTTATCTCTTATTCCTTATTTGGAATTTATCCCATCCTTTCTAAACCCATCCTTCATCCCTGATTTTCCACTCTTCTTCATAATATCAAAACCCAAAAAGAACTCCTTCACATTCCCATATTTTCATCCAGCCCATTTCCCCTTCATTATTCCACAATTCCATCTCCAAAAATAACAACTTGATAAGACCCCCGGTTCACCCCTAACACCAAGGTATTGAAACTTGTCTCCTTTAGGCACTGGATGTGAGTCAACCCTCACTTCCATTGCCGACTCACTCGCTCGACCACTAGAGCAGCATTTTACATACTCAATCTTAGTCATGCACTCATGCTGAACCGAAAGCTTTTGAGTCCCAAGGCTTGACGCCACACTCCCCTCTTATCATCAATATTATAAAACATGGAGTATCATGAAATGATGGAGCATCCAGACCATTTATAAAGCCAAAAAGCAATGTAACTAAATTACTCAAAATAGAAGGGAAAACTTGCTTCTTAAGTATCAAATGGCCAAGAGGTAGAATATTATAAGGCAATAAATAAGAATTTCAAATCTCATAACTTTCTACATCCAAGTCTAAACTTTCAGTTGTTAAGTCCTTGGGGCTTTGATTTTTGGGACGTCTTTCATAAGGCGGATAATTGATAATAGGTTAGTAAGAAAAGAGGGTTGAAATTGGCTAAAACCAAACAACACCAGCGTGTAAGTCCAACCCTAGTAAGGTGTAAGCCTTAACATTCACCCATGAAGCTATAGTCCTAATCCTTTTTTTTTTAAATCACCTCACCCGAGGGGGACCACAAGGCTTAAGCCCCAAAAGCCATTGCATACCTTGCAAAAAAATATACAAAAAGGCATGTGACAATGTTGATAAGTATTGTAAAGATCACTATTTCAAAATACAAACACTACAACGAAAAAATACCAACTCGATTTCTAAGAAGACAACAATTGGAAAGCATCAGAAATAAACAGTTCAAGATGCAGTCAACTTTAAGGGCCAAGACTTACAACTGACCATCATCAACAACTCCCTAGTCTAATCCGAAAACTGTTGGGATATGGGAGTCACGATGTATGCAGCCTTTCCATTGTAAAAAATGTAAAGAAAACAGAGGGGTGGTTCCTGTTACAACATTGTTGAATGTACTACCCTAAATATCATAGACAGTAGGCAAGGAAAGTTTAATGTGCCATCTTGATATGATCCATTATTAAACCGAAGCTAAAACGTTGTCAACTAAACAACTGGCCATCAATGCTACTTACTAAAACAAGAACACTTGATATTTGTGATCCTTTGAAATTTATGCATTCATAACGTTTTATCCAGATATATACACACATTATAGCATCCTAGATGTGGAAAAATGAGAAAAGTCTCACCCATTTATGTGGAGAAATAATCTCGCTGTTGTTCTGTGAATATGTTCTACAAGGTCCGGTACAGCTTCCACCTGAAAAAGAGCCATTTGAAAAATTCATTTGTAAAATATTTTAGATATAATGCGCAATACAGAAAGTATTCATCCATAATATTACACCAAGTAGAGTCTTAATTAGTCATTTTTATGGATAACACCAAAAGGGATTCATTAGTTGAAATATTTTTTTATCAATTTCAAATTATGCAAGTTCACATCACATTAGATGGAAAACAAAGAAAGTACTCAATGATCATTTTCCATTGTTTACTATTCTAGTTATTCAGGTATATTACACATTTACACCCAAAAAATAGCTAGTCTTGTGAACTTTCTTCTTGTTTTGTAAACTTTTTTTCAGCTGCATATGCTCTTAAACGAATTTCTTTGAACCTTAAGGCCGTTAAATTTATAGTTGTATCAGGTAATTTAAATACAACTAGAACACTTTTGCAGTCAAGGTGAGCATACCAAATGCACATAGAAATCTTCAACAGTTGCTGGATTATTTTTCAGAAGAATTGACTGAAGATGAGCTTTAGATCTGTGCAACAATCGAGCAACAAGAGATATAGTGTCAGCGCCTGCACATCTCTCCTGCAATCATTTTGAGATGTAATATGCATCAAAAACACAAAGTGGCAATCATTAGAATTGCTCCACAAATTATAGTCATCAAAATATGGGTAGATATCAATCAATGCATACATTTTTCTGTGGGCATAAATAACAATTTTCTATATGAGAAATGAGAATATTAGATTGAAGCCAAAAAGGACAGAGATAAGTCATAAACTGTGTCAATAACAGCTTGTCTGAGTATTACAGAATCAGTGGCTAGCATACCAGCATCACAAGTAATGCAAGTAGATCCCTCCATCCCAAAATAAAGTTCTCGATTTGACCCAATGCGCTTCTTGAGGTGGAAATGTGTGCTTGAAATTTAGTTAGAGATAAAAAATAATATGAAGCACAAAATATTTTCCTTAAAAAGAAAAGAGAAACTTTATTTTGGGAAGGACAACTAGAATCTTCTTTTTGGGTGGAGGGAGCAGAGAAGAGGACATCTTCCACATAGAATTATATCCATGTGCAGCACTGAAAAAATAAAAGTACCTTGAGACTAAAAGATGTACCAGCTAATAAACTGGGTGGGCTTGTAGGAGTGACATCCATATGAGCGAATGGCGTGTTTAAAGTTGTGGGTGAAGATGAATTAAATGGAGCAGCATGTGGTTTCATCCATTGGTCACACTCTTGTGTTATTCTTGATAATGCTGTCTTTAGCCTCTCTGATAACCATCGTAAAATAAATAAATTTAGAAATAAATAATAAAGCATAGTAACCTAAGTATCATATAAAATGGTCTTTGGTTTTTAATGGATAAAAACAAATTGTCATCTAAAGCACTCACGAGAAAGCATGTCTGTTGAGATTCTTCCGCTAGGGAGAGTACTCTGATTCACAAAGCACTCGAACACAAAATTAAAAAAGATCCCAAACAATTGGAAAATCCCCTGTTAAGAGTTTTTCAGTTAAAAACAAAAGAAAAAAACAGAGACTTTATGAGTTGATCACCAAAAGAGATATATGTCTTGACTATGAATTATTTTATATGGACGCACCTTGAAAAATTCTACATTTACGAACTCTAGCTTCTGCATTAACCTTGCATATTTATCTAGTAACCTGTCATGTAGACATGTATTATATTCAGCTTAAGGTTTGAATATCATTGGTAAGAAAGCAAATCCAAAAATCTAACCTCAGGAGAGTTAGAGATGATCCTGTATGTGCTGTTATTTCATCATCATTTGAAAGTGATGACTGATGTCTTGAATGACTAGGTTTGGAAATCCGGCTTGGAAGTTGACTATCTTCATCAATAAAATCAGCATGAAGATCATCATTTTCATCTTCTGAAGGAGAAGCATTCCCGTTCATTTGACTTTCATCATGGTTTTCCTGAGTAGAACTCTTATTGTAAGAACTCCCATGAGAGCTTTGGACGTCTCTAGAAGGTGGTGATCCAGTAAAACATGAATCCATATACTCCTTTGAACTACAATTCAATTTCATCAGAAAAGGATTTTCATTATCTGACCACTTAGAAAATCCACTTCTCCTAGAGTCAGATTGGATGAGTTCTATTGACGTATGTAAATTCCCCAATCGACTTCTGGGAGAGCTCCTAGTCAAAGCAATCAAGGCTGCCCCATCACCAATGAGACCTGCAAAACTTACTACTTGTGTTACTTCTGAGGGCAATATCAGCCAATTCTCCCTCTCCAGCACCAGTTTCAATGCCTGAATAAAACAATGATGCATTGAGACAATTACAAATGATTTGACCATGTTATAAATGAAAATGTAGGATGAACCAATGTTTCCATGTGTGTAGGATAAAATAAGAAAGGATACTAAGGTGAGAAATGAGAGAATTTATGCAACCGACCAAGAGACCTAATGGCTGAAAACAACGGAATGCAAGCGGAACTTCCTACCACTGCACAGAGATGGGGAGAGTGCACATCTCTACACACAAGAGTGCTAATACGATGTATAAGTGTATAACACAAATGTGAACTTAACGTGTTCACATTTCACACCGAAAGTGCACTTCTCATCCGAACCGAAATACACACACACACACACACACAGAAAAGAAGGCAGAATGGTTCACTTCATTTGGCCAATAACTTACAAAAACATCTTTATGCTAATATTAATAGGACTCATCGTCAATTCGTCATCATCACAAGTGGTATAAAACTTAAAGTGACAATTAATTGTTTATTTTTCACTACAAATTAATGCAACAAATCATAAACACCACAGAAAGGATAAGGGAGGGGGTGATCTCACCAAATGCAGTGGTCTGTATTTGTGCACATGGGCTAGTGCGCCTATTTTTGTGCACATGGGTTAGTGCAAGGAGTGGATGGATTTATTAGTCGTCTAGTAGTTCTTGGATTACACTAGTAGGAAGACAACAAAGGATAATTTTGTTGGATTACAGAAAACTTACATATATGTTTTGCCGGTGAAAAGAAACAAAATAATTTTGACATACTAATTTCACTTTCTGCCTGAACTCAACAGCGTCACTCCCACAGAATGCTTCCCCGGCCAAGATAAAAAGATTCAGATCTTCATACATTGTTAGAAACTGATGAATACTGGTAGAACACACAGCAGGAGATGAAAGTAACACTGCTGCGCGGCTTGTTGCAAGTTGCCAGAGATTTCTCCGACCTCGGAGTAAGATTTGTGAAACAAAGCCTGTAGCATCCTTGCGCAGCTGAAACCAGGGAGATCCGCTGCTTGATGCTGTCTTTCCACCATCTCTTACCTCTTCACCATTATCCATACCCAAGGGACAATAGGCTGCAGTATTATCTGTCAAAGTTACATTAGTTGCTGCTGTTTCTTCAGTGGAAGACGGAACATGAGGCCCCCCTGTTGGTTCACGAAACAAGCCATCACCCTGCATGTCATGCATAGCAAGGGTTTGGCAGGTTGAGACCTGGAAATCACAACATACTTCAAAATCTTTCTACTAAATAGAGAGGTAAGAAAAATGTTAGGAAATGTTCTGCTAACAGCAACATAGCATCCAAAAAAATACTCCAGCAACAAAGAAACAAGGGTCGATAAATAGAGCTAAGAGAGTATACTTAACTTAGTCTGATTAGTAAGGTGACTAGAATTCCAACTAAAAATATTTAATGCAATATTATTTTACTTCAACTTCTAATTTAAAGGACTGTCTGTTCTCTTCTTGTGATTTTCTTTCCCTTAGTCTGCTTTTTAATCTTGTTGTCATGCAGTGTGCTTTCTGTATTGCTTGAACTCAGAAAATGACCCTAGGGTACCCTTGATTTTCTGTTAAGAACTCATAGGTCCCACATTATTTGAAATATACTTTGGGGTACTCTCATTTTTTAGTAAAAACTTTCAGGTCCCACATTATGTGAAATAAACTCTGGGGGTTCTTAAAGTTTGTGGTAATGTACTCCGAGGGTACATTCCGTCTATTTGGCCACTAGGATTGAAAGTTCGGTTACATTGACAAATACTAAATTTTACCTTCATAATTATCATTTTATTAAATTTTAATAAAATCTTTCAATTTGTCAAAGTAACGGAACTTTCAATCCTAACATCTAAATAGACGGAATGTACCCTTAGAGTATAATATCACAAATTTTAAGGACCCCAGAGTATATTTTGAACAATGTGGGACCTGAGAGTTCTTACCAAAAAAATTGAGAGTACCTTGAAGTAATTTTCTGCTTTGCTTGAACTGTGGGTCTCTTGGAAACAGCCTCTCTCTTTTCAAGTAGGGGTAAGGTCTACGTACACACCCTTGCCAAACCCACTTTAGGGGGATTCTACTGGGTTGTTGTTCTAATTTAAAGGACAGATTGGGAAAGATGTTGAATTTATTGAATATAGTAAGTGAAACAGTTTTTTATGAGTGAAGGGGCAATAAATAAAACAGCAAATTGAAAGAGACTAAAAAATGAAATCCTATAAATATCAAGCTCTAAACATGTTTCCTGATAAGGCCAAATAGATAAATGATGAGATTATGTAATTTGTGAGACAAATAGAACATAAGAATGATCAAGCTTACCCCATCCAGCTGGAAGCTCAAGATTGCATGATATGAACACATTAACTTAAATAGTACAGCTAGGGTTGCCAACAAACACTGCCTAAATTTAGATTCGGGCATCTGAAGGCACAGATCACTGTATGTGAGCCTGAATGTGGGAAATTGATAAATTAGATACAGATAAACCAGAAAGTTTCTTATCAAAATGATACGTACTAGATGTTATCATGCAAAAGACATGAAACTATACCTTTCACCTTGCTCATGGGTACTTTCAAAGTCCTGCAATAAGTACTAGATGTTATCATGCAAGGGAAGCATAATATACAGTAGTGAAGGGACAAAGGTCATCTAAGCGATAATGGCGTGGAGCGTAATATAACCCGGGAAAGTAAAAGTAATAATATCCATGTTAGCAAACCAGTACAATCAAACCAACAGATTGTGTATTCACCTATTACTGCTTATAAAAAAGATGAGGAAAATCTATTAGAAAAAGAAAAAGAAAGCAAATAAGCATACCTTTTGCGCAATAGTTTTCAGGACACTGTGTGTTTCAGAGATAACCTCCTGCATAAAGAAACTTTGTATCTTTTCAGCAAGACCGGAAACATCCCCAATTAGGGCATAAGCATCAACCACCTGTGAATGATATGGAACACATTACAAAATAGCTATAGCATATCAGCATATGGTGCTCATAGATAGTAATGTGCAACCAGGTTTAACTGCATCATAGAATAAAAAACATGCATGCACATTATCTATAAATTTAAAGCATATCACATCCTCAACATATGAAATTAGTCATGAAATAAGAATATTATTAACATACTGCTTACATTACTAGTAGCAGTACCATTCCAATGTACAAGCATGCAAGAATACAACAAAAGTAAACACTAACAGTCTAACATATTGAGCACAAGAACAGGCTCTATCTAAAAGTAACATATTTGAATATGATTGAATCTGAATAACATGTGTTAACATAATAACAGTTTTTCAAATGCATGCATCTACTTCTTCACAGATAGACTACGGAATCACATCCATAGCAATCTTTGTCCTATCATACGCCGGAGGGAAGTGTGAGAAAAGAATCCAAGATGAACCATTCTTCAACAAAAAACGCAAGGTCAGGTTATCTTTTTACAAGTGATATTTCAAGATGAGGACATTTTAGAAGAAACGAGAAATTATTGATGTAGAAAAACTTTTATAACAATTTTGTCAAAAATCAAGGTGATTAACTAACAGTGATATAACTCTCCTCTTTGAAATTCCGGCATACTCCTAATAAAAGTGCATCCAATTTTTGAAGTGTCTTCCCCAACCAAACCTGCAAATTCAAGAAGCATGTTAGCCGTGGCAAAAACAGCAATGCCATAGAGATAGCAAAAAGTGTGTTCCCACTCAAGATTTAATCACAAAACTGGATTTGGATAGGAATTGCTAAAGAGAAGAACTGTTCCTTTATGCCGACTCCCTTAAAAGCTATTGTGTGTTAACCCTACCTCAACACCATGGCTCATTTCTTGTACTGCTGAAAGTTGTGACAAACTATCCAGAATTTGCAAATACTCCGAGAGTACTTGGAATGCCTGCAAGAATGGGTCATTGGTCAGCCAATGCACTTAGAAAAAATTACTCTGAGAAATATTTGGGATGAGATAGTGGGTGAAGCGGGGTGTGGGGGGAGCAAAGCTGTGTAAGGGTTGTATTAGATCAGAATGGACCTTAGAGAAGTTTCCTTCCCCCACTAGAGTTTCAAGGGTGGCTTGCATGTCCAGTGCATGACGGAGCTCTGCTAAGATTGGGAGCATATCCTATAAATTTGTAAGCTGTTAAATCCTATTGAGCTTTTTCCATGACAAAACCAACCCACTAATAATATTGCATAGTTGTTTAGCAAAGAAAATGTATTCCATATTTGTGATGAAATGGTTATACTAAGGGGGTAGAATAAGACTTGCCAAAAATTATCCGAAAATATCGAGTTTTGTACAAATATTTTGTTAATCAAATATGAGGACCGAAATAAATGGGTCAAATCCGACCAAATCCAAATCCAATCTAATTGACTTGCTAAGATAAGGGCTTTTTCAAATTCATGTACCTTAGTATGAATGCAATGTGATAAAAATCGTGTTATAGTATGTTTCTACTCTTTTACTGTATAAACTTGTCTTTTCTAACAATATAGTATTGTTATCTTAGTTCTTAAAAATTTGTATGTATTCGAATTTTTAATTTTATTTATAATATTATGGCATATACAACAACAACCCAGTAGGATCCCACAAAAGTAGGGATTGGGGAGGGTGAGAGGCTGTTTCCAAGAGAGACAAAAAGATACTGATTCAAGGGACTACCCTACTTTCTTAGTCCTAGATCTCCAAGCGCTCCTATCTAAGGTCATATCCTCGGTAAGGACTAGAAGTCCTAAGTCATGCTTGATCACTTCCTTCCAACTCTTCCTAGGTCTAACCCTCCCTCCACCCCAACCCACCATCGTAAGTCTCTTGCATCTCCACACCGGGGCTTCAACGCTACGCTGCTTTACGTGACCAAACCATCTCAATCTGGCCTCTCGCAACTTATCCTCCGCATGATCCACTAACCTCACCCGCACATCCACCTCAGCATCCGCATCTCTGCCGCATGTCGTTGACGAACATGGACCTTCTTAACAATCCAACACTCCGATCCATAAAGCATAGCTGGCCTAACCACCGACCAATAGAACTTTCCTTTCATCCTTGCTCAAATCTTCTCATTGCAAAGGACGCTAAAGCTAGCTTCCACGTAGCCCAAGCGGCTCCAATACGGTGAACAAACATCCCTGTCTATCTTCCCATCTGCCCGAATGATCGAACCAAGATGCTGAGACGTATCTCTCTTAGGCACTACATGTAAATCAATCCTAACTTCCACTTCTGAATTCATCACCCAACAACTAAACCAACACTCCTGCTTAGTCTGAATCCTCTAGATTCCAGTGACTGGCCACAACTTCAACTTGCCATTGGGCCTTGGACGAGTCTCACCGATCAGTACAATATCGTCAGGAAAGGAATAAGGGAAGGCCCTTGATGTTACCCCACCTCTACAATGGTAAGTATTAATGCAAATGTATACCTATACATGCAAAACATTTGCTACAAATATTATCATTATTATAAACTTCCTCTATTTCTAATTGAAACACTTCAGCTTTTGCATCATTCACATGTCCAACCTTCCTTGACTCTATTTAGAGCAGTTTTTCTAGTTGGAAAAAGAGAGTTAGAGCCTGTTCTTTAGGGCTTTAGGGCTTGAACTCTTAACTTCCAGTTCCTTCCAGTTTTTTCCAGTTTCTTCCCAGATCTTCCAGTTTCTTCCAGTTCCTTCCAACTTTTTTCATTTTCTTCAAATTCTTTCTACTCCTCAACCAATTACTCTAAAAATGATATATTTCAATGTAATTATTATTATTATTATTATTATTATTATTATTATTATTGTTATTGTTGTTGTTACAACTGTTATATTCATAACTATAGTGTATAAATTATTTTTCTCATCTCACTATTTTTACGATTAACACTTATTATTTTTTCTTTAACTTTTTAATATGAATAAGACATTTTTTTGTATATTAGTCTACATGATAAAACAGGAAAACATCAATATGTTAAATTATACTAAAAAATTATGGATAAAATAGTTACATTGAATGTTTTATTAATATAACTTTTTATAAGACATCTCAATTTTCCCTTTATTACTTAAAAATTGCTCTTTTTTCTAATTTTTATAAAAAAATTGTAAGTCAAAAGAGCTTAGAGAAAAAGACTAAAATATGAGTAAAACATAAAAAATGTACACAAAAAAGTTCTCTGTCTTTATTCCAAAAATAGGAATTCAATGAAAATAAAATGTCAATCATGAAAGAAACAATAGGTTTGATTATGTGACATGTATGATATTTAAAACAAAATGTTTTTAATATATAAATTATAATTACAAATATATTATTTGTAATAAATACTGCATAAATAAATTGAGGTGCAATATTTAAAATTTAATATTTTTATATTTATGCTAACTTTATACTATAATTATTTTTTGTAAAAGTAGTTTTTTGTATTTCATATCTTAAAGACATTCACTGAGATAACGTGATGATGATGATTATGATGATGATGATGATAATGATAATAATAATAATAATAATGATGATGATGATGATGATGATGATGATGATAATAATAATAATAATAATAATAATTTATAACAACAAGAATTTAATAATAATTAGTCCTTTATAATAGGGGGGTTTCCATATTTAGTCCTCTGTTATCAAATATTACCCTCGTAGTCCTTTTTTTAAGGGTGCCTTTCCACAAATGATCCTTTTTTTTATCTTCTGTCATGTAGGTGTTAATTTTAAGGCTAAAAATATAATTTGGCATCAACATTATGTCTAGTGACGTGTTCTGATATTGGTTAAAATGATAACACAAAAATAATGACTATGATTGTGGGCTAGGATTCCGACGAAAGACCACATTTATAGATTATGGTTGTAGTAGAAAGCGACTGTAATTCACAAACGACGCAATCGGAACAGCCTTTGGAATTGTGTATGACAAAAAAGATATATTATCATTGTGAAATTACACTTTTATCCTTCAAATTAACACCAACATGATAGAATGATATATATCCGGGAGCAGGCCCGAAGACCGTCCGTAGCCCGCCAGGGGAAGGACGGATCAGGGGAATAAAGCCCAAGTGTGATGACATTAATTGGGTTGAAACTTCTCCATTTTCCTGTCTTAGAACCCAACCCAACACCATGGTTGTCCTACACCCACCCTAGGCTGAGCCCACACTCCCCATACCTTCCCTAAACATCCAAAATATTTCCTTTTCAAAATAAAGTTTTTCCTACTCTTATTTTAGCCATGGCCGAAAATAAGAGTGTATAAACCAAAACCTTTTTGTTTGTTGTTATTTTCCTTCTTTTAAGCCTTTTAATAAACCAGTAAAACCCTCTCTTCCTTCCTTTCATTCCCTGCCCAAATAAACCTCACAATCCCAACACAACACCCACAAAGAGCCAAAACCATGNTCCCCAACATTGACCAACCATTGTCCCCCTTGTGTCTCCCACCTAGGCTGAATAAACAATAACAAAAGGACAAAAGACTTTTGTGAGTTTATTGACACTCCACCCACCAAATCAGTCCCCACATACCTTCCATGAATGACCCAATATAAGGCCAATAAAACCAACCATCACCCATCCCCTTTGTCCCCCATTATTTCCCAAGAATCATCACTTATTTCCTTGTGATTTTCCTCACTAAAGGACAAGCCACCAGCCATGAAAATCAAAGACCAAATCCCTGATTTCATTCCATTAAGAAAACATAAACAAATGGATATTATTCTTGTGATTTGTGAGTGGATGTTTCTGGGAAGTTTCCCCCCTATGTGTGTGTATTTATTTCGGCCTTAGGCCCTTTTGTGAGACTCATATTGTAATTCCATTTTCCATTTAGTAATACACTTGTTGTGTTTGCTATTTAAATTCCTAAATCTATATCTTAAGAGTGGTTATCTTAAGTGTGAGTTTTAGGTTCTAGATATTTAATTAAGTGTGTTATATCTTAATTAAGTTCTAGACTTAACCCCAAGTTAAGATAAGAGTGTGTAATATCTCTTAAACACCAACTTGGTTTATCCCTTCATTTTACCTCTTCCCATTTCATATCTCTCCATTTCTTCTTCTTAAACTTAATTCTTTTCTTTCATCCAAAAATACCAAAAAGAACTCCTGCATATATCACCATTTCACCCAGGCCTCTTCGAACATATCTCCTGCATTTTCCTTTGCATTCTCAAGCCAAGAGAACACCCATACCTCCCCTTTTCATCCCTCACCAACTCGGCCTATAACACTGCCCATTCATTTCCTTTACCAATTCCCCATCAACTTTCGAACTTGATAAGACCCCCGGTTCACCCCTAACATAGAAGATCAAAAAAAGGACTATTTGTGGAAAGATACCCATAAAAGAAGGACCACTGGAGTAATATTTGATAATAGAGGACTAAATAGGGAAACCCCCCTGTTATAAAGGACCAATTATGGAATTTACTCTAAATATTTTTAAAGTTTTTTTAGGTTTTCCAGTTTTTTCCGGTTCCTTCCAGTTTTTTCCAATTTCTTCCAGTTCCTTCCAATTTTTTCCTGTTTCTTCCAGTACGTTCCAGTTTCTTCTAGTTCCTTCCAATTTTTTCCAGTTTCTTCTAGTTCCTTCCAGTTTTTTCCAGTTTCTTCCAACATCCAGCTCTTTTTTTACAGTCCTAAAGAACAGGCCCTTGGATGTTGAAAAAAACTAGAAGAAATTGGAAGAAACTCGAAGGATTTAGGAGTTAGAAAAAAATATTGAAAGGAGTTGAAATGAATATCATTTTTTTTTAAATTTCTTATTTTTGTTTTATACTCCATTTGTTCCAAATTTTCTTTATCTTTGTACTTTTTTTGTATATCTCACTATTTTTGTATCAAGCCATATTTAGTAATATTTGTGTGACTCATTGCATTCTTACTTTTACTTATTAACATCAACATCAACGACACAATTTTTTATTTCTTAATTTGCATGTCACTAACACGTGTCCTAAAAATAGTGAGACGGTGGAAACAATATTTTTATTAATGTCAATTAAAAGGAAAATTTGAATAAATAAGCACATGTTTGCTCTATCAAATAAAAATAGTCTTGCACCGCACTTTATACCCTAAAATAATCACATGTGTGTCTCACAAAAATAACCCTCGTCTAAGCATATTAATTTTCCGCTAGAAATTGTTGATGTGACACATTTTACTCTTTTTCTAATTATACAAAAGAATAATTTAAATCAGGTCTAAATCACTATGGAGTACATTATTAAAATAAAAAAACCATCCAATTAAGTGTAAAAAATCCTAATTCTGATTAAAAAAATCATCTTTGTCGGTGTTTGAGAGTTAATATATTATAAATCTGGATGTACGATGTTATTATATATATTCATTATATGTACATTTACATGTTACACAGTGGTCATTTAACACATTTATTTTAATAATAATAATAATAATCGTAATTATAATAAAAATAATATGAAAAATGCAAGTGAATAATTTTTCATTCATTTTTAGAAAAAACTGGAAGGAGTTCGAAGAAACGGGAAAATATTAGATGTTGAAAGCAACAGCCCAAGCCCAAGTGAACAAAGCATTATTACTAATAAAAAAAGTGAATGCACTAATAGTCAAAGACATACCTTGCCATGCGAGACGTGAAATTCAAATTGTTGAAACTATAAGAGATTGGAAATGTGTGTGTGATTGTGTGCATATGAAGCAAAACGATAAAATTATATGTGTGTGTGTTCATGGATCCAAACCCCCCCTAAATGAGGGAGTAGAGATCCTTTAAGTAGAGAAGTATGAAAAGGTCAGGTTGGCCTTTGAGGGAGAAAGAAAATTAAAATACCAAAAGTGTTTGTTTCTTTTTTGAATTCCTGTGCACGATAAGATCCCTTGATATCTCATTCCTTGAAGATGTAAGGTGTCTCCGCCCGTTCTGTGAAGATTTTAAAAAAATGGTTGATGAAAACCTAATATGGAAAAGGCAATCAAGCTTTGCGACAATATTAGCATGAAAGTTAGAATTAACGAAGTGCTTTATAAAAAAGGAAGGCATAACACATTAACTACAAAATCAACTAGTACCAATTCCCTTATGGCTCCGTTTGGTACACGGAATTCAAACTATAGAATTGGAATTAGAGACAACAATTCCAACTCTACTGTTTGGTAGCACAAAGATATATGGATTTGGAATTGGTAGAACCAAAATTGAATTGGAATTGGATAATTCAATTCCATCCAATTCAATTCCATAGAATTTCAACTCTTAATTCAATTCCAATTCCGTCAATTCCATGTACCAAACGGACCCTATGTATAAATAAATAAATAAATAAAAGGGTTGAAAAAGTGACAACATAACCAATTGAAACCCAATTCCTTTATCATTATCAACAACAACATCCCACTACAGTAGGGTCTGGGGAGGGTGTGTGTACGCAGACCTTGCCCCTACTCGGAAGTAGGGAGGCTGTTTCCAAGAGACCCCCGGCTCAACCTGCACAAAGTTATGGAAGGGAACACAGTATAGTACGGGTAAAGCACCAAGTACAAGCGACAAGTACAAGCAATAGCAAAAGATTCCAAACAAACACAACACACTACAAACAACCTCAACAGCACCGAGCTCCTATCCAGCTACTCTAATCCTAGTTCTCCAAAGGTTCCTATCTAAGGCCATATCCTCAGTCAGGGTGAGAAGTCCTAAATCCTGCCTAATCACCTCCTTCCAATTCTTCCTTTATCATTATCATCTCCATCAAATTAATCCAAACTATAATGGGTTCAGTGGCACTAAACTTAAAGTGTTAATTAATTGTCTAGAATTATTTGACATTGCACCTTCATACAAAAAAATGAATAAAAATACGTAGAGCCAAATTTTATGTGGAAAGACCATAATCCAGTCCTTTTATGTAATTAATGAATAAATAAATACCTAGATAAATTATACTTCATTTTTTTATTTGCAACATTGAAAACATTACATTGTTCCCACACTCTTTTCTGACCATCGTTTGTGATTGATACATAAATAAGAATACAATCATGTGGGATCTTATGTGTTTCATCTCGGTAAAAACTGTAAAAATATCAAATATTTATAATTTTTCTAAAACGTAATTCAAGATATTAGTTTTAAAATTTGTGTATTGGCAAGCATGAATAAACATTAAGCAAGTGTTGCAACTAAATTGGACTAGAGGAAGTAAGTAAGTAAATAAATGAATAAATAAAAGGCATGTAACACAATCAGTTTACTGAGACAATTTGAGCGCTTTTTTAATTTTAAAAAAAATCCATTAAGATGCATACAACTAGAAGTTGCTTACCATGCAAATAACATTTGCAACCTTCAAGTCTCTTTCCAGTTCCCTGACAAGATTCATTCCTTTCACTGCCAGTACAAGCACATTATAAAAGATTGAAAGCAAAAACCTATGTGCTTCCATTTTATAAAAAGGCGAATCATTTTATAAAAAGATGAATCTTAATAATGATAGCTCAAGAAACAAAATAAAAACGATACTTGTAAAATAGATAATTACTCTTATATGCATCAAGAACAAAAAAGGTCTGGTGAATATAACTAATGTACCATTCAAAGTATCCACAAAAAGACCTAGAAGTTAGATATAATCATAATAAGCTCTAATTTCAAACTTTCCTTATAGCAATTCCTAAGTGACTCATCATTCAACGCTTTGTTATACCCGAGACCCAGGGTATAATCAAGTTGCTATTTGAAGATGGAATTATGGGATGGTGAAGAGGATATGAGGGGATGGGGGTGGAACAAAGAGTTGTTTTTTGGGTTTTTGATGAAAGAAAAGAATAAGTTCAAGAAGAAGAAATGGTGAGAAATGAAATTGGCAGAGATAAAGTGAAGGGATAAACCAAGTTGGTGTTAAGAGATATAACACACTCTTATCCTCACTTGGGGTTTGAATCTAGAATTCAATCAAGATATGACACACTTAATTAAATATCTAGAACCTAAAACTCACACTTAAGAGAACCACTCTTAAGATATAGAATTAGGAATTTGGCTAAAATAGCATCACACTATTTTAAAAGAATACTCAAAAGAGTAAACAAGGTTTTTGAATTCAAATATGCTGCTTACAATGGCCATAAGGCCGAACTATATATGCACACTACAAAGGG